TCCAGAAAACCTTACCTTCCTCCCACTCCACTCTTACTCTGTCCTCCCCTCACATTTCACACTATTTCATGCTGTTTTTCTCCAAGTGCCTCGCCTTTCATTTTTATTCTTTTGGCCTCCAAACCCCACAATCTCTCTGCAGTTCTGCTTGAGTCCTATGTGTATTTCTCTGCTGATGTGAAGCAAACCGTGAAAGAGGGGTAAAAATGAGAGGGGTGGGGGGTTAAAGGTGCAATGGGTGGAAATTTTGAGCCACATCATGTAGAGATGGAGACGGTGGGCGTCGGCAGAGAGAAAGAGCAAAGCAGGGAAGAAATGGGGAGCACGAGGGGGAGGGGAGCTTGGCTGCTTGACTGTGCGGGTGAAATGAATGTGTAATTGAGTTGTTGTGGCTCAACCCTTGAACAACTGAGTGATGGAGGGAGCGGCAGCCACAAGATCCCCCGGAGAAGGTGGCTGAGCCCGTAGCTGCTGCATTGTCGGCTAAACACAGGGAGTCGTCAGTAGCAGTGTAAAGGTGCCAACAGCACCAGGTAGCAACATGTCCATCGCTCACTGCAAAGTGTCAAAAGCATGGCGTGTGGAATTTATGAGCGTGATTAAATCAGGAAAGCATGAAGAAAGCATGAAAACTGGTCACTGGATTGATGCAAGGAACCACAAATTCAGCTTCCTCCTCTCTATTTGATGCCCTCTCCTCCATCTTTCCCCATGACAGACCACCCATTCCTATTTACATTTTTAAACATTCGCATCAATCTCCTCTTTACTTTGCCTTCCCCTTCCTCCTTCCAATCACTTAGAGCAAACCGAGCAGGGGTGAAGTAGAGGGTAATTAAAATGGGAGTGCTGTGCGTTGAAATGAAGCCAGTACAAAGACACACCTCAACCCTAAAACAGCAAGCCGTGGAGATGAAAACATGAATGGAATAGGAAGGACTGTGTGTGTCATCAGGAACTATGTTAACAATATATATATATTCAGATGTTGTTTTAATCAAACATTTCTTTCATGGAGACTAGACTAGCCTTCTTTGATGACCCCCTTACACACCTCTCCCTCGCACACACACACACACAGACACACACGCACACAGAGATCAGGAGCAACGCTGCAGAGCTTTGATTGATGTGCTTAGTTCATTGAAACAGGTGAGATGGTGACAGCTCAGAAAAACAAGAGGGGAATCAGATCCTGGTTACTATACCACAGTTACTGCAGAGAGAGGTATTGGCAAGACCAGGGAGGGTGCAGATGGAGGAGTCACCTTGAGGGAAAGGCGGAGGGAAGTGACACAGTGGGAATGCCAATTTATTTATTTTCAGGTCACAAGCTTGTAGATATTGAAGAACACACCTGAGAAGCAATGGATTTGTATGCTGGGCCTGAATAATACAAAAAGGTTCTAATATATGGCAACAACGTGAGCAAATCCTGAAATCTCTCCAAGTGTTAGCTGTTGGTTCTTGTCTGTTTGTGGTACAAGCAGGTTCAGCAGTGACTAAACGCTGGCTTCAGTGGAACTCTGCTCCCCCCCTCTCTCAGTGGAAGTTTGAGTGGAAGTGAAATAATATTGATTTAACTCTCAGGCGCAGCTTTATAGATTGATTGTCATACCAAGCAGCCTTTATCCACAATAGTACTGCCCTCAGGCAGCCTAGATTTTCCGTTTATCACAGCAACAGATTCAGGTTTGAAATCCACAGTGAAATGTTTTAGAATGACTCAGCCAGGACATTGGGGAGGATTGATTATAATGTTAGTTACACATCACTGAGTACGAAGTGAAATGGCGGAATATATTCAAATTATATTTAATAAATATATCGGGCATGGCTGCTGTTTTGGTGCTATTTTAAAATCTCCCCAAAACTGGGCAGGACACAAGTGTGCCACATTACACCACAGTGACATCTATTGGTGAAATGCTGATATTCACCCAGAGAGCGAGACGGGTGGCAGGAGCACATCCTTTTATTCCAAAGTGCCATGGAGGTTCACTGATATCAGAAGACAATTTATTATCTGTAGCCCTGCCTTATTCCATAAACACACTTGTAAATCCACCAGTGAAAACAGTGCGACAGTTTTTCTTAGGTGAACTTCTTTTAGAGCATTACTGGCTTTTCAATACTGAGAGAAGCATAATCTTTTATCACAAAGCAAAGCAAAGAAACTAGCACGTTTACCACTTCATTTTTCTCCACTCACCACAGGACTGTTTCACAGATGACATTTAGGCGTTTAGGTGTTACCAATAGTAACATGGCACCATTCTATGTCCCAACAAGCATCATTAATTTAATTAGCACTCATTTAATTATGCTTTTCCTAATTTGTCATTTGATTTCATCATTTCATCTTCATATTCACATAAAGTATATGTATCTAAAAAGCAAATACACCTTATTAGTCACACTTTGCTAATACCAGGTTTGACCCATTTTACCTTTAAAACTACTTTAGTTATTCATAGTGCCACACATTCAATAAGATGCTGGAAACATTCTTCATAGATGGGTTTGTTGGGTGCACATCTGTGATGTGAATCTCCATTCTGTCACGTCCCCAAGGTGCTCTACTGGAATGAGCGCTTGTGACGGTGGAGGCCATTTGAGTACAGTGAAGTCACTGTCATGTTCAAGAAACCAGGTTGAGATTATTTGAGCTTTGTGATAATGGTGCTTTGTTCTGCTAAAAGCAGTCCTCAGAAGATGGATACACTATAGTTATTGATTTGTAATTTCTTCTTTTAAAATCAGTTTCTGGGAAGCACTTTGTAACACTGGTTTTAAGTAGTGCCATACAAATAAACATTATTATTATTATTATTATTATTATTTATAACAGGATGGACATGGCCAGTAATGATGCTTCGGTAGGCTGTGGCATTTAAATGATGCTCAGTTAATACTAAATAGCTCAAAGTGTCAGAATTACAACACCCCCACCAGCCTGGACTGTTGATACAAGGCAGGATAGAGCCATGCTTTAATGTTTTTTATGATATATTTTGACGCCAAAATCAGAATTTTGCAGCAGACGTTGAGACTCATCAGCGCAGGCGACATTTTTCCAATGTTCTACTGTCCAGTTTTGATGACCTGGTACAAAATTATAGCCTCAGTTTCCTATTCTTGGCTGACAGGTGGTCAACTGCTGCTGTAGCCCATCTATTTTAAGGTTTAATGTGTTGTACGCTCAGAAATGCTCTTCTGCATATCTTGGATTTAACCAGTGGTTATCTGAGTTACTGTTGTCTTCCTATCAGCTTGAAATAGTCTGGCGCTTCTCCTCTGGCCTCTGACAGTTACTCAGAGCGACTCATTTCACACCAATAATCATGCCACATTCAAATCACCTGTCCTCTTCTCGCTGATGCTCAGTTTGAACTTCAGCAGGGCATCTTGACCATATCTACACGACTAAATGCACTGAGCTGCTACCATGTGATTAGATGATTAGATATTTCAATTAACAAGCAGTTGACCAGATGTACCTTATAAATAGTTCACCAATTAATTCCTTGTTTACGCTATTTTAGCAGATGAATACTCCGGAATATGTATACATTGGTGTTACCATTAGAAGAGAAAATACAAAGCCGGCTACCTTAAAATCTGCAGATGAAAATAGTGCCAGACGGCACTCTGTTCTGAGTAACAGTCAGGAAAACACTTGAGCCTACTTGTGTTTTCAGTAAGTGGCAACAATAAGGGGAAGTTGAAAAAAAAGAGACACATTTTTTTAAAACAAAACCAAGGAGAAGTCAAATGAGTGTTAGGGGAGATTAATTTTGTTCTTCTGACTGATAATGGGAATGAAATAGCTGAATACAAATGTGTCCTTTGTTCATAGTTACGGGAGCGGAAAGTGGTCGGGAAAGTGCATTAGGCGTGGCACTGTCGGGGAAACGCTAGCCCTTAATTAAATAAATATGTTTTGAAGTGTCCTTGATTGTACGTTAGCGAAACCTTTGTTTAAAGGATCAAGGACCCTCTGCCTCTTCAGTGGTGAAAATTATGCATGTTTTGGGATGTGTATTCTAATGCAGATAACAATTTCAGGTTAAAACCTGTTAGACTGTTTGTCTCATGCCTGCTTTATACCTTCTAATACTACTGAGCACAAAGGATTATGTTTTTAAAAACTGGACAAAGCAGTGGTGTTCTTCTTACAGCTCAGCTGAATCTAAAATAACACTTAACCATTGAAATAGCAAAATGTATCGATTTTTTTAGTGTGAATTTTTTGTTATTTAATAGAAATCATTGGTAGTTACCAATATTTTTTTCAGTGTAGATGTGGCCAGGTTAAAAAAAACAAACAAAGAAACCTTCTTTTGGTTTCTTCCTTTAGAGGTCACCAAAGGGAACCCTCTGCTTCCATCTCACCTTATCCCTAACATCCTCTGCATGGCCTCCTTCACTACATCCATGAATCTTTTTTGTGGTCTTACTCTTTTCTGTCCAATATAGACACTGACGCTCCTCTCCACATGCCCAAGCCATCTCAGCCTCGCATCTCCAACTTTGTCTCCAAACCTCTCAACCTGAGCTGTCCCTCTGATGTACTCATCTCCACACCTGTCCATTCTGGTCACTCCCAGTGAAAATCATAATGTTTTCCTCCTCCTAACCTTGTATTTTTATTAGAGTCCCAGTCTCCAAACCACACATTATAACAGGTCTCACTGCCATCTTCAATTTCTCTCAAGATTAAAATAATAATATCAATAAAATAATAATAAATCTATTTCTTTATCCTACATTAGTAGAACATAATAAATACGACTTAGTCACATATATACAAAATTATAGACGAATTGTTTTATAGACATTTTCTAGCAACCGAGTAAAGTCGCTTTTTTTCAATTAAATTTCCGATTAAATTAATTTAATTTCGAGGAACCATTTCAGCTGACAGGCTAATCAGGCTCACAGATATGAGTGCGGACAGCAGGGGTCCCCAGTTCACTGCTTGCTCGCGGTGTACTCCCTGCCTCGATAAAACTCTCCTTTTAGTCAGCAGTCTGCCAAAATCGATGCTGGATCAAAACATTAACATAAAACAGAAAAATGTAGGGATTGTTATTTGATGTTTACCTAACATTAACGTAAAACAAGCTGCCCGGCCACCGTAACGTCCTCAACAGGGTTGCGCGCGCCTCTTTGCAGCGGAAGTTGACTTTAGTTGTTTCTGATAACTTCCGTAACCCGTGCTAACCACAAAACCCAAACAGTTTTGAAGCAAAAATGATAGTTTGCTGCGTGTCTGGTTGTGAAAAGCGGTATATCCGCAGCAAAAAATTGAAATTTTACAAAATACCGTCTCGGGGCCACCGGAGGCGTTTGTGGCTGCGAGCAATACAAGAAGCGAACGGCAGCACTGCGAGACTCACGGAAGATGATCGCGTTTGTGGCGCTCATTTCATATCAGGTAAGCTAAGATAGGAGCTATGCTAGCACTGTAGACATACTGTAAGAGAAACAAGCGGTTTGTTGATTAAAATTGTCGGATTTAGCACAAAGCGTTCTACATATCTTTATTTTTGTTTTTGTTTTATAGGAGAAGCATCTATGGAGCGTGATAAGCCGGACTTTGTGCCTTCTGTTTTTACCTGCACCAAAAAAAATCAAAGCCCCAAGAAAAAAGTGAGACGGTAAGACATGTAAAGTAGTGTTGGGTCAGGATAAAATCTGTGAGGATCAAAGTTGTTGGATAGCTTTGTGTTTCTCTAATAATATTTTTTTTTCAATTTTTTAAATTAACTTATTATGTTTTAAATTTAATTGTAATATACTTTTTTGTTACTTATTCTGGTCTGTATTGTCATTAGTTAAAAAAAACGCTTACAAATTAATTAAGGTAAGGGTGTTTTCTGATGGTTTTGCAGCTTCATTGTTTTAAGTGTCCTCTTTAAAATTATATAAATTAATTTAACTAGGTCCTTACATTTTGATGCTAAACATCTGATAACATGGCTTAATGAATATGGACTGGAGTGTAGCTAAGCTAAGGTCATATAACATGATGGATGCTTGAAGGTTCCAACAGCAGAGTTCACAAATCACAAGTTGTGCAGGTAAAGGGTTGATCTTATTTATAGCACCTCATCTATAGGACACATACTGCCCTTTAAAGCAGTCAAAATTATTCAAATATTTTTACAGATTTTAAAGATTGAAATTAAAGTTAAGTGCAATATTCCCCAGGTATTACACCATGTACCAAATCATTCATATCCAAAATTTGTAATGGTATTCTGTCCCGTTTTTAGTTTCTCAAAGGTTACTTATTTATTTTCAAAGTTTTAAGTAGGGATTTAAAGTTTGCACAATTTTTCTGAAGAACGGTATTTTTCCCAGCAAAATCTGTGGTGGTCATTTGAGAAGTCTTCATGTGATGAGTTTAGATGGACAGAACCTTTAGTGAATTATGCTAATCATGGTGAGGACAAATCAGCTCTAGTCCAAGATTAAATGCACAGACTTGGAAATGACAATAGGTTCCTTTTAACCAGTGGAGCGAAATTATAAAAGTAAAAGCTACTATAACAGATAAAACCCTACGAGAACCTGTTCATTCAATTAATAGAAGGTTGCAGATGTACATAAATGAAGCCTTTATGGCTCAATGTTACAGGTTTTTATAATGCCCATCACTATAAACATAACATTAACAACATATTGACTCGGTGTGTGATATTTAATGTGTGTGCTGTAGTCAGTGCTCTGCGCTGGGTTCATAGTTGTCACGTCTCTTTGCTTCTGAGCTCTGTGTGTTTGAACAGTGCGAGGAGAGAGGGTTGTCTCGAAGCTTGTGGTATTTTATACAGTACCGGTGTTTTCTGTTCTATTTTTCTTCTCTGACTGATCAAAAGAATAAAAAACCCTTTTCATTTTCACTGAGTGGGCGAGAAGCACATTCAGGTCTACTCTGGCCTATAGCTATAGCCAGCCCAGGTCAGGGTTACAAAGGTCATCCCTTGGTATCAGTTTCCATAATAGAACAGGCACAGTAACTGGTAATGAATTAGAAAGGGTGATAAATATTCAGTAAACAAGCTGCATAGTTATCTCCCATCGTATGTGTTCTGTGTACATATTGGGTCACAGACCCTGAACTGTTGAAAATTTGTGCAGCTTTACAGTGTATGACAAAAACAAGGTGTTAATACTAACATTTTCTTTTACACTTTTACTGTAGATATGAGACCCACTTTTATAGATCACTTCATATGTTTGTTTGTGGGTTGTTGTTTTTTTTAAGGATTTATGGTCGTAGAAAAAGGCATCGCCGGAAGGCAAGAGGCAGAAGAGAGGAAAATGCAGCCCCACTTCAAGCTGATTCTTCTGCGAATCCCGAGCCGTCTGTTTCGATGCGAACTGAAAGTGAATTTTCAGAAGAAATGCAGACGCCAGCAACCCCCTCAGTGCCAAAGGTAGCAGCCACAACTTGCTCTTTCTGCATATCTTTTCTACTTGGACATTATGCAAAATAGCTGTTTTTGTTTGTTGTAAAGTAGTTGTTTTGTAAGACACGAGTTGCAAGATTGTCATAAGTATTTTTATTTTCTTCTAATGATAAATTCTTTAAATTGTTTTCCTCTGTTTGTGTATTTATGTTTTTCAGGAAGGAGAAACTGTGGCAAAAGTGTCTGAGACTGAAGCAGAAACCCAAATTATCCAGTCTCAAACAATGCTCGACTTAAATAAGACATCACCACCCTTCAAAGGACTACCAGACACCCTAAAACTAGATAAGAGAAGGCTAGTTGTGCTCCTGAAACCTTTAGTTGCATCAGAAGGTGGTTATCGGTGTGAACTGTGCAGTCAGACCTTCACTGATATACCACAGCTGGTAAAACACAAACGGCTGCATGAAGAACAAAGGTCCTTTCTCTGTGAAAATTGTGGAAAAAGCTTCATAACTCAGGCAGATTTCAGTGAGCACCATGCTGTGCACAGGGATGAGCCCCTCTTTCCGTGCAACATGTGTGATCGATCTTTCACCACGATTCACCAACTGAAGCGTCATAAACTGCTCCATGTTAAAGATGGCAGGAAGTGCCTCAGGTGTGGCACGCTGTTCTGTCAGCGTCACAACCACATTTTATTCCTTCCGCAGACAGAGTTTAAAACGGAGTCTGAGCCTGAGGACAGTTCCTCCAGGAGTGAGACAGAAAATGAACTGGAACCAAGCCAGATGACTGAAATACCTGGCAACACTCAGAGCTCAAGGACCGTTACACCTCCACTGTCTACTTCTGCTCCAACTGCTGCTCCTACACCCCCAAATCCCGGATTTCTATCCAAGCCCCCACCTTTGGCTTCATTCAATATATTACCAGAAATCCCCCCACCGGTGTTGCTGAGACCGTGTCCTGTGCCTCGTCGACTCTATCCAGAAGCGAGACACTCAGAAAACCCGGGTTCCTCATTTCACCATGACTTGTTCACCCGAAATACAGAACTTCCATCTTCACTGAAGATCTTTTCACCTCAGTACCTCACCTCAGCCTTCCTAGAGGTTAAAAGAAATTATGAATATATTTTAAGCAAGCCGAAAAAGTGTAGGGTTAAGAATCCGGTGAAGAAGGAACAAAGTGAGGCACCAATAATTTCACCAGAAGAACACACTAAGCCAGAAAAAAAGGAGCGAATAGCTTATGACCTGGAGATTATGCTCTGATCTGAATAATGGATTAGAATGACCTGTTTACTTACCTGACCTTTTTGCCTTACTTAAGATGTTCAACATTAGTGCTCCTATCCTATTAGTGTTTCTGTTCTTTGAGTTAAAAGGCATTTTAACAAAAGCAAGGCTGTGTTCAGTTGTGTTTGGCTTATACTTGCACCACTTTTGCCTCTCTTAGCACACTGATATATTTGTAAGTACTGTGATGCTGTTATAATTTTTTTTTAGTTCTGTAGTTAAAATCTTTCACTTCTTAATCAGTGATGAGGTGCAATTGTTTTTTTTCGACTGCTGTTTGAACTGACCTGTGTTGTAAAACTGCACCAGGTGGGATTTGGGCTTCAGGCCATATTCTGTACTTGGCAATTTGTGCCGTAATAATCACTTTAGTCTGTGGAAAAATGCACCGTGTGCTACAAACGGCATCAATAATATGATCAATCATCTCTAATAACAATTGCCACACAATTCAGTTTTCACATCTGCCTCAGCTAACTGGAAACAGATAGTGGTTGCAGCTTTATATTACACACATAAACCAATCAGCCGTAACCTTGAAACCGTGAATAACCTTGATTGCACTATTACAATGGTTGGTTCTGCTGGCAAACCTTGAGCTCCCAGGAATTCGTGTGGGTGTTACTTTTACGTGCAGCACACGCCTACAAACGGAAAGGCTCGAGGAACACGACAAAGAGTCCAAGGTGTTGACAGGGCCTCTGAACTCTCAGATCTCAATCCAGAAAAACGGCTGATCCACTGAGGCCACTACAGCAGAAGACAGCCGTTGCTCCTGGCCACATGCCGAAGAGGACAAATCCAGAGGGTCCAGTATGCGTGCCCTGAGGGATTACAGTTATTTTGTCAGATATCAGGTGCTTTTTATGTTGCTGATCATATGCAGTGTATATGATCAACAACATATGCATGTATGATGTAGCTACAGTTACGTCAACCATTTGTTACATTTTGTGCATTTTTTTTTTTTTTTTTTTTGTTCCTTTTTTTTTTTTGTTTTTTTTTTTTTTTTTTTTTTAGTTGTCCTCTTTGTTTTGTTTGTTTTTTAATCTGTATATGAGAAGTGGATCTGACTGTGAAACCAATGCTGTTTGTTTTCTAAAATAAATTATGTTTATGGTTAGAGTAAACAACTGCCAGCTTAAAAATGCCTCCATCAAGTGTTTGTCAAATTTTTAAAGTGAACGGTAAAATTCTTTGAGAGCAGAATTAACTACCAACACTCCTTCATTAACTACAATCAATTAAGTTTAGTTTAGAGACTGTTCATAAAAGATGTACATTGGTCACAGGGATGTCATCCATTGATTGCTAATCTCCTTTTTTTTTTTTTTTTTTTTTTTTTTTTAAACTCATAAAGGCTCATTTTTCCTCACGATCATATTGGTTACATAAAACCCAATGTGGTCATCCCACATCACTTCTTAGCTGGCTTTTAGTCACTAGTGGATCTTCCACACTGCCGTTGTGTAGCAGAGCCGTTTGATGTATTCATGAACATCTCATATCAATTAACAGTATGTTTTGATCCCATGCTTGACTCCAAAAGTGCCCACGTTCCATCGCTCAGGGTTATGTCACCTGCTGTTTCTACAAGTTGCTGAATTTAATTAACATTTTGTGGTCTCTTATATGGATTAAGGCACCTTCGGCTTCGCTTTTCTGACTTGTAAGCTATGATATTTGCACTGTTTGCACACAATATGGAGTTTTAATTTCCCATTTGTAAAAAAAAACTTTGGACTGATTACGTTTTATTTTTGTTTGTTTGTTTTGTTCTCATTCAGCTGACCTGTATGTATATGTACTCAAATGTAGAAATGGCAGAAAACATGGACAAATGGAAAGATTGAACTACCATGTACCCATTTCCCCCACACCAAGAAGCACCTAACCAGCTATATGTCCAAATGACACATTCTTGGAATAGCATTATCTGTTAAAATAGCTAAAGCTATTTCTCAGCTGGTGATTTGCAGCTGTCTACTGCGTGCCCATTAGATTTGCTCTCACGTGGACACAGGAACAAGAGAAAAAAAATAAGCTGTATGAAGTGAAATATGCTCTTTACATAATGTAATAAAATTAAATTGCTGTATTATATTTTTTTGACTTTTGTTCGTGCGTAGATTTCACAGAGTTGTAACAGTTTTGAAGGAAAGTTCAAGGTTGTCAGACCAAGTAGTCTCTGTCCTGATGGTGGCTCTAGAGGGATTGTTAAAATAACCCAAAAATGTCTGTCTAACTTTCTTGGACAGTCTTCCTGTCAGTGTGTCACACTGCATTAAAACCACCTGCTTGTTCTGTGAGCTGACTGCACAGAAAACCCCCGCAGTACAGCAACAATAAGGTGTGTACTAGTTTTCATTGCTTGGAACTTTTCTTGCTATGCAGCTGAATTTTCCATGGAGGATTTTTACTTTAACTGCTGCATGGATGTGAAGTAAAAAGAAAAACCCTATTGCTCTATAATCCAACCACAGTTTACATAGTAAAAGTCCTATTTGGCCATACAGATGTTTTCAGTTAACATTGCGGTTATAAAGCCTTTATGTTATCAACTTCTGGGTCATTAGGTTCAGCTGCATCGATCTGGTGAATGTTTTCGCACTGTCTGCAATTGAGCCGTGACAAATATTTTAATAATTAATCATAATGTGAAAATGCAGACTTGACTCGACTGTTCCGGAGAAAGCTGGCTCCAATGTATAGTGCCCTTGAGCATGAGACTGACAAAGTGGTACATTTTTTTAAGATGAAAAACCCTACTTTATATTAAAAAAAAAAAAAAGTTTATACATTGACAAGTAAACCAGTGAAAAAACAAGTAAAAATTATCTCTAGTGCCTATTAGTATGTTATCTAATTTTCTATTTAATTGAGCTCTTTTGTGTGTTTGTCCCCCCCTATTTAGCTATTTTGTTTTTCATACCTTAATTTATAAGTTTTGTTTTATGTTTTTGCTGCTGGAGGAATTTATTATGTGCTCACTAACACTTATAACTACAAAGCAGCTTGCATTATTAGGAAGCAGAAAACCTATCAATCTTAATAAAAGTAAACAACAACAAAACATTTGATTGATTTATCATCTTTTGAAAGCACAATTTTCAAATTGCTTTGACAGGTAAAAGTAGAATACTTTAAATAAATTGCCAGGCGTTATGGCCACAAATCAAAGAGAATAAAATTAAAAGGAAGTTAAGGCCCAGGAAAATATCGCATAAAAGTGGATGCAGGGGACTTTTTAAATTAATTATTTAAAAGCAAAATCCATTAATCCCCATTACATGAGGAAATACAACAGTCAAATGGCCTTTTTGTTGATCGTGTTCTTCTTTTAAACCCAGTATTATGGGTGACTAAATAGAAAGTGAAACAAATATTAAGCATAAACCTACGTTGAAATTATGGAAAAGGACGCACAGCATATGCGTAAATACGCATGAACACTGTTTGTTTTTAGCCTTTAAATCATCATCAGCTTTATATTTCAGGGTTTCACATCGGTGAGGGATCACTCAAACTAACCACTGTCTTTAAGTTTGCATTTATGAATTACTTTAGACGAAGAAAATGTAGGTTATGTTTAAAATATTTATTTCATGCACAATGGTAACATTAAATTAAAACTGACTTTCTGATTGAATTTGCATTTTATCGATGAACTAAATTAATAAAAGATCACGTAGATTAAGGGTACATTGGATTTTTTTTGCATACGTTCAGAGAGGGCATTCCTCCGCATCCACAACAGTCCCGTCTTCAGTCCATCTGTACGCTGTCCACGTCTCATTGGTTCGGATGCGCGGGGTTATGCAGGGCGACGATTCTGTTTGGACCTTCCTGCTGTCACATTAGGGTGACGAAAGCGAGGATTGGCTGAGATCCGTTCAGCAGCGGTTTAGATTGGCCGATGTGTCGTCGCGTGGCTTCATAGATGGCAGGTTAGTGGTGCTGATGCTGTGACAATGGGAGTCATCCAGATATGCATCATCTGGCCCGAGTGTGCCTAAAAGACAGCAGCAGGACCCAGGCTTGTTGTTATTTTAAAGGGACGGAAAAGTAGCAGCAGAGACACGAGGATCATCCTGCTGCTCTGAGAGGGTGAGTTTTACGCACGGAAAACAAACTGGCATGCTGGGGGCGGGGGGGCCTCATAGCTGTTTTTGGTGTGAAGTGGGGGGGTAGCTCTGAAGTAGGTTGTTAGCAGGACCGCTCACTGCAAGGATCAGTAGCTCCTGCCGGATTTCTCGCATCCATTTACGATGCGTTTGCTTCTCCCTGGACGCGCAGCGCTGAGGCACTGTTAATGCAGCGGCTGAAGGAAGGCAGCTGTGAGTCAACTCATCCCCTTGGCCGACTGCATTGCGGAGAGAGCATGTCTTGCAGAATAGCATATGCCAAATATTCTCCACATGCCCGAGACCCAGGTCATGGTGTTATTGTGATGAAGTCTTGATATTGTTTTACATCCTGGGATGTATTTCATTGTATCCAGTCTGATGCAACTAAAATATGTTAAATTACAAGAAGAGCTCTCATCATCTTTAGTGAAACTCTGAACAGCAGCTGTGCTGCATGTGCACTGATCTGTAGTGAATTGCTTTGCATGCTGGGATTTGAAGTTTAATGAAGAGTATTTAGCTATAAGTCACCACTGTTAACACAAATGTTATTTTTGTTGCTGTAAAAATGCATTTTGGCTTCTCTTTATTTTCTAAGTCTAGTGATGGGAGTGTTCAGCCGACAGAAGTTTTTCCAAGAGCTCGCTCATGGCTGCCTTCTGCCCACAGCTCAGCAGGGCCTGGAGCAGGTTTGGCAGCTGCTGGTTATCTGCCTGCTATGTCGACTTATCTGGATGTTCGGTGAGTACAGAGCTTTTGCACCCCAGTCAGTGTTATCAGACCTTCACTTTAATCTCTAATCACATACATTATTCTTTATTTTTATCTGGCTATGTCAGGTCTTCCTTCTTTTGTGAAACACCTGGTCACAGTGGCAGGAGGTTTCTACACGCTCTACCTGTTCTTTGAGCTGCACATGATCTGGGTGGTCCTTCTCAGCCTTCTCTGCTACCTCTTCCTCTTCCTGTGTCGCCATTCTACCATCCGAGGCACCTTTCTCTCCATCACTGTGCTCATTTACCTGCTCCTGGGGTAAGAGAGTCCTCTTGTGTTACTTGACAGTTCAGTATTACACATTAGGTGTAATACTGAACCAAAGAGCTTCTTTAATAATTCATTTTCCCAATGGGGCCACATGAGAAGCTGGAAGTGTTGTGGGGGTTACATAAATAAGCTGAACTCAATCTAAACTGCTATAAGCAATGAAAATGTGAAACAGGCAAAGTGGAAAAAAGCCCAAATTTTGTCAAATCACAAAGCTGGTCTTGACAGCTCCATCTCTTGATGTGTAAAGCTTGGTAAGGAAAAAAGTCCTTGTTGCTTTTGCAGCTTCGCTAGCAAAGCTTTAGATGTCCATTTTCAGCCTGCATCAGTCAACTTCTTGTATTTCTCTGTGTGTTTAGTCTCGTAATGATGATTCAAACTGTAATCCTCAAACAC